TCTCTGAGCAAACTGTGCCAGCTCTCAGTCTCACTTCCAATCAAAAAACAGTGTTTCCTGATGCTCAGAAACTGTTTCAGTTTGTGTCTATTCCCTCTGTCACTAAGCGCCACTAAAACATCCTGTTTCCATCCTCTTTGTGCTCTCCCTTCATCTATTTATACACATTGATAAGATCCTCCCTGAGCTGAGCTGAGCCTTCTCCAGGCTGAACAATCACAGCTCTCTCAACCTTTCCTCAGTGCTCCAAACCTGCATCATCTCACTGGTCCCTCTCCAGATTCTCTCCGGTCTATTCATGTCTCTTGTACTGGGGAGCCCACTCCAGGTGGGACCTCAACATAATCACAGCTCTCTCAACCTTTCCTCAGTGCTCCAAACCTGCATCATCTCACTGGTCCCTCTCCAGATTCTCTCCGGTCTATTCATGTCTCTTGTACTGGGGAGCCCACTCCAGGTGGGACCTCAACATTGCTGAGTAGAAAGATCACCTGTCTATTCATGTCTCTTGTACTGGGGAGCCCACTCCAGGTGGGACCTCAACATTGCTGAGTAGAGGGGAAAGATCACCTCCCTGGTGGCAGTATTCCTCCTACTGCAACCCAGAAACCCATTCACCACCACTGCTGGCTGAAGTTCAGCTTGGTGTCCACCCAAACACCAAGTCCTTTCCTGCCAAGCTGCTTTCCAGCATGTGCTGGTGCCTGGGACTGTTCCTCCCCAGATGCAGGACTTGCACTTCTCCTTGTTGAACCTCATGAAGATCCTGTCAGCTCATTTCTCCAGGCTGTTGAGGTCTTTCTGGATGGCAGCATAACTCTCTGGCTCATCAGCTACATCTTCTAGTTCTGCATCTGCTGAAAACTTGTTGAGGGTGCACTCTGCACCATCGTCCAGGTCACTAATGAAGATACTGAGCAGGACTGGACCCTGGGCTACACCACTAATTACTGTCCTCCAAACTAGATTTTGTTTCACATTGCTGTATTTCTAAAGTGTAGCTAGCAGAATTAAGGTGTCATATTTTTCTATTCTACACAGCCAGATGTTTGAAATTATCACAAACAGGATACTTTAGAAATTCAAGTGATCCTGGAAAAGGCTAAACTAGTGGATACTTTTGTCCTACTCTAAAGGAAACTACACCTTTTTATCTTCTGTGAACAGAATGCTTTAATTTCCAAGATTCTGCATGCAGCTGCAAGAGTATACCTGTCTCTTATTGCCACAGAGCTCTCTGTTCTATACTCTGAAGTAAATTCTCACTTGTAACTTGCAAGAAAAATATCTTTAACAATAGTCACTATCATAGCTGAAGGAGAAGATAAACACACAGAACAAAAGAGCTCACAGAAAAATATAAGGAAACTGGTTGATTCATACATTGTGTTATCATGCTAATGGTGTAAGATTCATTTCAAAAGCATTTGCAACCGATCATTTTGTCATTGGTGTCCACCTGCTGGTCCCCAGAACAATTCTGAATTGCTTTTTTTGCTCATCTATAATTTACTGACAGTTTTTAAGGAATCTTTAGTTCCGAGTCAAGAGTTTTAGAAAGAAGGATCAGTTAAGAAAAAAAAAAAAAAAGAAAAGAAAAGAAAAAACAAGGGAAAAATCACACTGAAAATGAAGCTTTGACAAGCAAAATCAAAGCTTATTTTCAGAACAGCCTTCAACTGCACAGGCTGTGCAACTATTCCATCACTTCCTATTTTAGTGCAAGTAACTTTTAAAAGAGCTTGGTAAATGAAAAATTCCTATATAAACTTTCCTAAAAGCACAACTATCTATCACAGCAAATAAGTCATTTTTAAGAGGTCTGGTAAAGAAAATTAGAGTTTGACACAGCATCTACAGAAAAGTGTAGTTTGACTTTTTTTAAACAGTCACAATTATTCCTTAGTAAGGTTCACTTGTGTAAACAACTAACTCGAAAGAGATTCATCACAGAGATCTGTCCTTACTAGACCTATAGTGCAGTTCACTGGTCCTTTTCCAAATTTAGTTCAACTTGCTGCAAAAATTGATATTTATATCAATAACAGAATTTCTTTGCTAAAATAATCAGGTGTGGGGGAAGAACAACTTGGCCAGTGTCACCATGTGTCACAGACCTATCTCCAGCTAACTCCTTTTTTAAAAACAGGTAATCTCTAGCCAGTTATGGATTAAAATTGTTCAAAATCCTCAAAATAGGGTAATTTAAAACCAACTCATACTGCTTCTGTGACAAACAAAAACATCTGATCAATACAGTTTGTAACCATAACGACTTACAAAACAGTTTTGTAGCATGATAAATTCCAAATGTATTTAGAGAAAGATTGAGGAGAGTCTAGAAAAGACAGCATGTCACTTTCAGACAAATTCTGTCTTCTCTGGTGTACTTTGTTTTGCATTGCTTTGAGTGTTTCTCCAGCATGGGGTTATCCATAAGAGCTGTCTAACCCAGACTTCTCTCCTCAAGAAGCCACTTCCCATCCCTGATCATTGCTGCTCCCTCCTGTGCCTTGTGTGTAAGAAGATTACACTCTTTTTAAAACAGAATGACCAAAGCTACATTGGAGAGACGGAGACACTGAGAAATTTACAGTCTTTCTGTTCACTCTACTTTTTTTTTTTCTGGAAGCACTTACAGCAGCAATAGGGTTTATTCAGCATGTGTTGCCCTAATAAGCCTTAGGATACAAGCAAAGCAAGGTTTTTAGGATGACATACTATCCACTATGAAACAGTGCAACAATAGAGTTAGAGCAGCTTGTGGGTGCATAGAAACACTTGAAATGTTAAAGTAAAGGGAAAAAAAATTCTACTTTTCCATTAGCCATTACCTATGGCAAACAGCTGTTCTGGTCAGAAAAGCAGCCAGAGCCAGTCAGGCACTGGGGGCAACTCTGGGGAAAACATTGGCAGCTTGGCAAAGCCTTACACACCTTGCATAGGAAAGGGGCTCAAAGCAGAAGTCTAAGGAAAACATGGCAACAATTTCAGCTTTACCTGCCCTGAATACTTATACACACTGTGAAACCTTTTTTTTCCTCCTCTTTCTCATATCTGTACCCAGATGAAAGAGCTGATGAAAGAGATACTGAGGCTCAATGTATATATGAACATTGTAACTACACCAAATGTGATCATAAACTAAATCCTCATTTAAGGAAAGATTAAAGCTCCTCTTCATTAAACAAGCAGAAGCTATGGAAAAAGACAGTCTGGTGGTTTACAAGCTTTGAAAGATGTTACCATGCTAAGGAAAACCTGTGGAGCAGGACATTAGGTGCAGGAGGAACTAGGTGAGTTAATTACAGAGTGATACGGAAGGTTACTCAGAATATGCCATAATCAGGCCAGACAATATTTCCCCAAGACAGTAAGTGTAAATTCGAACATTCAGGTTTACAATGCACTGGCCTTTGCTTTGCAGGGAGCAATCTGTCAGGGAAAATAGGCCTGGTAGAACTGCAGAATCACAGAGAGCATGGAAACACCTGAAGGACAGTGTTCAAAGAAGTGACAGGTCTGAGACTGTTCTTCCTTATCTTAATATCTGCTTTTTCCTTCAGTCAGATAAAAGGAAAGCTGCACGTGCTATACAACTAAAAATTCCCTGAATTAAATAATCTTGCATCCAGTAGCAATAATTCAGCTCCCACATTACAGCAGAACATCATTGCACACCTGTGGGTCTGCACCAAGTTGTCATCTACAGTTGCCATGGCTTCCTGAAGAATGAAGGGCTCTGGCTTCCAGAACACTAAAATAAGATGCTAGCACATGAAAACAAGCACACAGCTCTCAGCAGCCAGGGTGGTGGATAGAAGCAGTTCACCAGCACAAAAAGTCATCATGCTCTGTACTCTGACCACCAAACCCATCGTGTAATTACCCAGACCTCAGTGGAGACATAGTAGATATGATTTCCCATAGGTTATGACCTACAGGAATCAGAATATTGAATGAAAAAACATTGCTGAGATTTGTTGGATGGGAGGGAATTAATACAGAAGAAAGAAAGTAAGAATATCAAGCCACTGCAGCAGAGGACCATTGCCAGAGCTCTAGTTTTTCTCCTTTGGATAATCACTCTTGGGAAGCATTGCATGCTAAAAACACATTCTTTAAACTCAGTGCTCTAAATTTAGTACCTTTAGAGACAAATAGGATAAAACCCTCTATATTCAGAATCCAAAAGAATGCCTGTATTTAGGTTTTACAATTATTATTAATTTTTTTCATCTAGTCTTTTATACTGTCTTTTAAAAACTGGATGTAATTGTATTTGTCAAGTTCATGTCAATATGACAGGACACAGCAAAAAAAGTAAATGCATTTCTGTAATATTAATAATCTACCCTCAATAAAGGGTAAATTGAATCAAACCATTTGCTTTTAGGGGAGCTGAACAGGGTAAGTGACCCCAAAGATAAAGGGATAGAACATGAGAGCTGTTCAGACAAAAATAGAAGTGTCAGAGAGGATGTTACTGTGTATTTACAAAGGAGCTGAATTTGCATGGATGCAGGAGGACAAGCTCTTCTCACTTTTCAACAGTTTACTACTTTTGCAGGCTGTTGGAAGGGATTCTGAGTTCAGGTTTCACTGTGAGAGGATTGCTGCAGAGGTTTCCTCCACACCACCTTGAAGATTCATCTCTGAATGGAAAGTACCTGGTTGAACTAGACGACCCACTGTGGTTCCTTCCAACCTTCCCCATATTGTGATTCTGCATTTCTAAGTGCCAGACTGAACAAACCTCGAGTTCACTTATCCAGAGTAATGATGACATCCAGTGGCCACCAAGTTAATCTCAGCCTGCCAAACTCAGTCACACACACATTCGTTTAGAAGACATGGAAGAAACCACTTTTCAAAGCGCTTCAAAACAGAAAAAGGATGGTTCTGTTGTCCATTTTTTCAAGAACTCGGTCAAAATATGAAAATATGGCTCTTAAATCATGCTTGTGTTCTTTGACAGAAAATATCTGTTAAATACTCACTTGCCCAAATATTTCTGGCAGGCCCAGGACTTGACCAGTGAAAACACCAATACAGATGAAAATTGCTGTGACCTGACCCAATGAACCACGGATTTCCTTAGGAGATATTTCACTCAAATACATGGGAAGGGCACTTAAGGAAATGCCTATGAAGAAAGAAAAGAAACCATACATTAAGTCAAAACTTCTTTTCATTATGCCAGCTATGAAACAAAAATCTGTTGAAAGGAGTCTGAGGCCTAATCTGCTAGCAAGACTGGCATATAAACATGCAAAGAACAGAATTATAGCTATCCACAGGTAACATGAATTGTTTTCTCTGCGTGTCTAATTACTCTTGCACCATTTAATAGCCATGGGATTGATTATCTGTTACAGATCTACAGTGATGTGCACAGGCTGCTACTTCATGAGGAGCACTGAAGGTTACTCAGAGATGAGAACCACCAGGAGAACAGATTTTATGTTCTAAATTTGCCCATCCTAAAGCAAGCTAAATCGTGTTAGCACTGGTGAGGGTAAGGAAAAAAAACAAACCCCAAAACAATATATCAGAGAGTCAGAGCAGACACTGTCAGATGAAATATTTTTACTGTGAACAGTATTAGTAGATGTCCCTCTCAACACAGGCTTAGAGCTGCAATGAACTCTTCACAGTAGGCATAAAATAAGTGAGAATCCTGCTCAAAAATGCGTGGCCCTGGGCAGTACAATGACAATATTTACACAGCTCCAGAAGTTTAGTCATTTGATGGTAATCTGAGACAAAAATTAGCAGCCAGCACCAAAATTTCACATCGAGTGACCTGTGAAGTTGCTGAGACCCTTAATTCTAGCTGCAGTGCCTCCATGGTTTACTTTTAAACTGGGAAGATCAGAGTGCTAGGAACAATTGATGATGTACCAAACCTTCCTTAATCCTGCTGGTATTAGCATGGGGTCCAACAACTTCTAAACGCATGGCAACAAGCAGTGTAAGGAAATAGGCTACACTCTCCTAGCCAAAGGATTTTCATGGCATAAAACAAGATATGCTCTACCAGGGGTGGAAGATGAAGGGTGGGGGAAGAACCAGGGTGGATAGCAGTGATCAGCATCCATTCCAGTGTCTTCTCCAAACATCAGATCCTCCAGCCTTTAGTCTGCTGTTTTGTCCCAGTGAAATCAGTGTGGCTATGGTTAGTCCCTGAAGTGCCTTTTTAATGTAAAGAAAGTTCTAGCAGGGGGAGAGGAGAAAGTTTATGCATAGCACAAGCATTTCAGACATGTAGAACATGACCAAAGCTTACCTGCATCAACACCCATGACAACACGGCCCAGTATAAGCATTTCAAAGGACCCTGCCCACAAGGAGAGGGACATCAACAATGCAGCTGCCACTGCAAACACATTATTGAGCAGTAATGTACATTTCCTAAAAGGAAAATATAATTTATGTAGAAACCAGCATCATGACAGTTAGATCTAGTCATATTCAAAGCACAGTAAGCTATTATCTGGGGCTGGGTGGTATGAGTTAGTGGTATATGTGTTACAGTGGCAATGGTAGGTTGACAGGTGAACTTGATGATCTTCCAACCTTGATAATTCTATTATTCCATGACTCTATTATTCTTAAATATCTATAAATAAAAAGTGCCTAACAAACTCTGCCTCTTAGATGTTATGTAGAGTTCCAAAATTCAGTGCTACACCCAAATGGATACAGTTCCAAACCTATACCAGAGCTTAAAAATAAAACATATCAGAGCTAACTAAAGATCTGTACTTCAGAGGCACAGCAATTAGCCATCCTATGCATACCAAGAGCCCAAGTGCCATGCCCTAAGCTGTAGATGAATATAAACAAGCATACTCTAGGTACATATCTGTATGGAGGAACCAAAGAATCCACTTGAAATGGCAACAAGCTGATATAACTAGAGGCATTTTAATGCTACATATTTTTTTTGCCACTTTGAGAACTTCCCAGCAATAACACACTTCTGTCATTATAACTCATCCTTAAATCCACAATGTTAAAAACATACATTGAGGAAAATTATTTCCTGCTTGCAGAGTTAGAAAAAACATTTGGGTTTACACAAGTATTAAAAATCAACCCTTTTCTAAAAATTGTTGAAATTAACCAGAATTACATATTGATTTCTCACTTTTAAAATTAATTCATTCTGCAACAGTTAAATAGAACATTAAACAACAAAATCAAAAATATATATTAAAATTTTTGAAACATTTCCATTTCTCCTTCACACTATACTGACAGCCGTTTCTCACAGTTTTCATCTCTCAGAACTTTCTGCTCAAGTTTGAGGGACTCATTAATTCCAAAGTAAATCCATAGCTTCTTGCAGAAGAGAATGCTTTAGAAAATAAATGATAGGCAGGATTTCATGGGCCTTTGACTGTTAGATTCAACTACATCATAGAATCATAGAATTTCAGGGGTTGGAATAGACCTTAGAGATCATCTAGTCCCAATCCCCTGCCCTGGGCAGGGACACCTCCTCATTAGATCAGGTTGCTCAAGGCTTCATCCAACCTGGCTTTGAACACTGCCAGGGTTGGGGCATCTACTGCCTCCCTAGGAGACACATCCAAGGTCTCATTTCCTGAACAAATGGAAGAGTGGTTAGAGATATAAGATCCACAGCTCAGCTGCAATGATTCTTCATTGAAAGATTAAGTAGAAAACCCACCCAGAACTCAGAAAATTGCTGCTACCTTACACACATCTCTCCACAAAAATGGAATTAAGTGGCTGTCTGTGAAATTGCTGCCTGCAGGTGAATGGCTGGAGAGACCATTATGCCTCCCTAGCATTGGCCTCCGCAATCCCTTGAGCATATTGCTCTGGGTGCTCAGGATACACAACAGTAGCTTCTCTTCGTTAGAAGAGAATTTATATGATGAAATGTCAAAGCCACATTCGAATGTGGGATTTAGGCTTATGTGGATGAAGATTCCCTTTCAAACAATTACATCTCTCTTGAAGTAAGTAGGGCCTAGGAATGCAGTAATTTGGAAATTATGTTATTAATCTTACAGCAATATGACTCAAGAGTGTTCTTCCTAAAGTCATACATTATTTCTGACTAATGCTTTTGATCCCCTTTAGCTCATGATTCTGTGACAGTGTAAATGGAGCTCAGTCTCACCATACACACAACCCTCCAGCCTACACTGGAGCAATTTAACAGCAAAGCATTTTATTGTTCTGTCAACATTTCACCATGTGCTCCTCAATTACCATAACGATGTGTCAGTCTGGGCTCCTAGACCAGACAAACACACTGCACCGTGATCAGTAAACTCCAGAACCACATTTTGGTGAGCAGCCTTTATCCACACAACTCCTTCCTATCTCTACTCAAGCACTCAAACCCATATCTATAACAGAGCTGTTTTCATGGCTTAATGAAGATAAACATCATAAACAGGGGCAGAGTCTGCAAGTGTAAAGGTCTGTCCTGGTAATATGACCAGCTCTAATCAAAGTGGTACAACTATGAGAGTTCGTCCATCACTTTAACAAACCTACACACAAAGCTGTTCTACTCTTCCCCAAAAATTCAAGTCTTCAATGAACCCATTTTTTACTTGTCTTTATTTTAATAAAGACTCAGCAATATTCTGGAAATTAATGCCAGAGTTAGGCACAGTTTCATATATTTAACACATGTGTAAAAGCCAAATTGATGATTTGGCAGAAGAAATGGAAAAACTGAAAAAAACGCAATGTGGCTATGAAAAATATTTAAGAATTTAAAATCAAATGGTGAAGTGACAGCATAAATTAATGAATAATGGATAACAGAAGGGAATACTGACTTGTTGCAAGCATGAAACGGAAGAACCTGAAAATATACTCTTTGAGGTGAAAAATGGGATGTGGAAGGGTTGGGAGAAGGACAAACAGACCAAGCAGAATACAATCTAAAGGAATGGAAACAGTAAAAATGTAAAACAGAGAAGTAAGAACACTGGAGATTGATGCTTATATTTTAGCATCCATGATGACCTTCTCCTCTAATGCAACTGATAAAAAAATATCAAGTTTTATAGAATTTACAATTAAGAAAAACCCAAATGAGTGGTCATGACAAATGCTGCAGTGGTGGGGTTTTTCTATACCCTTCTAAATGTAGGTAAATTATAAATTACCTTGACAATTCTCTTTGGAAGACTGTATGAAACAAAAATTTGACAGAAATATCTAGTTAGTACCTGCAGCAAAAATGCAAACACACACCAGCATGAACATTCCTAAACTACTCATATTCTCTGTGGTCAAATACTGCATTGTATAGAACAGGGACAGCATCCCCAAGCTTGAGGAAGACCAAACACAAACTTCATCCTAGTTTAGTCCTTCAAACTGACACAAGGAAGGAAAAAAAAAAAAGTCAATTTTTATTACTGTATGACAACAAATGTTGTTAAGAAGCAAATGAGATATATGGATAACTTTTTTTGTTTACAGTAAGATACTCAGCAGACTTGTGAAACAAGAATCTGCCAGTCCCTTGTGAAATCTTTTCTATTTTATGGCATTTTCCCTTTGCACTCTTGACAATTCCACTTCCTTGACATCTCAATCCACTGCCCCGTTCAGAGCTCCTGTGACTCAAAGGAGGCACAGGAAGGCCAGAGAGAAAGGTATGAATTTTACTCTTGGAAATTCCTATCTCTTAGAAATGGGCTTTCATGATCTAAAGATATTGAAATTTGCATTCTAGTGAAGGGTTGTTTTTTAAAAAAATAAAAGTCAATCCTTCTGGAGAGACTAAGTGAGAAACTGCTTTAGAGAATACAAATTTTTCAGTACACTTACCGTCCTAAGAACTTCACAATTGGGGTAACAATGATGGCACCCACAAGGCCACCAATGGCAAAAATAGAAACAGTTATGGACCAGAGGAGGGTCAGTGTGCCTTCATCCACTGAGAAGCCATATCTTCTTTCCCAAGTTTCATTGTAAAACTTCTTGATATACTGAAAGAAAAGCCATCATAATAACACGTGTAAAAATATCACACTTCAAGAATACGACTGAGAGAAACAGAAACAAAAAATCACAAACAACCCAGTGGCTTGCTTGCAGGAATCACCCATGCTTTTCTACCTGCCTCCTCCAAAAAATGGAGCCTCACTTCTAGATGCAACTGTAGTAAAACTAACAGAATCAGTCAAAGCATACATATGTGTAACACCATGGCAGACACAAAATTGGTGGAGAAAGAAACTACAGGTAGACATGAATGTTCAGGACCAGCTCACTTTTTAGCCTTCAATGTGCCAGCATTTATACTCTTTTTTCTGCTTTTTCTGCTTTCCTCATATGAGTACAACTACAGGATTTTGAAGGATGACTTCTAACGACTTCTCTGATGTTTAATTACACCGATTTCTTCATCTTTCTAAAAGGTAAAGGTGTCATAGCTCCAGGATGACATTTTAACATAGTCTCTGTATTTCCTGCAGAGACATCACCTATGTATATTTTTTTTTAGTCAGGCTCCCTCAATTTGATGGTGTTCCCATTTTGAAATCAAGGAAATGCCACCATGGTGCCTGATGCTCTGGCAAGGATACAGTGCCAGGCAGTTGCAGTCACTAAAGCAAAAGGGCACAGCATGGTCTGCAAAGCTCTCTGTGTCACCACTCCCCAATAAACTCAACAATATCACAAAGTTTAATCTTGGCACTTTCCCCCAGTTTCTTCTTTGATTTCCTTCAGCATATAATAGCTCCTAAATTTTCCTGGTACAGGACTCAACAATATAAGCCACTACATTTTCCCTGTTCAAAATAGGAATTTCAAACTTTACCTAAAGTCTGGCCTTGGGCACTTTGAATATACGATTTGAGGACATTATTTGGTTTGAATCACCACCTCTCCATCTGCAAAGTGCCTAAGAAAGGTGGAGGTAGAATGCACCACTTACTGTCTCCCTTCTATCAAGTTTCTAGTAGACCTCTTGTGCACTGAATTAAAAGGAGGACAGGGATATTTCCCCCATCCTATCTGTTCTAAACAGACAGGGGAAAAAATAAGAAAAAAAATAAGAAAAAAGTCAATCTGATGCTTGCTCCATTTAGAAGAAACTCACAGCAAGCTTCCAAATGAATCTGCCATTAAATCTGGTAATACTTCTTTTCTCTTTAATACCAATATTCAGATTATATTTAGAGCCAGAGATCTTTTTGTTTATTTGAAGTTTATTTTTTATAGTAATGAATACTAAGAGAACACACTTTCAGAACACTATTAGCATTTCTTGTTAATGATAATGATTAAAAATAGAATGCAAATTATTCTCCCCTTGTCTTATGATTAATTTTCTCAGCATAGCTTTGTTATTTAGAAGGAGACATCAAATAACTGCAAGTATTGAAGAAAAGTACAAATGACAAGACTCAATAGTCACAGATAGATGCTCTGATATGTACAGCACCTATGTCTGGATTCTCATTGCCAATAAATGCTAAGCTAGAAACATATAGGTTTTAAGGAGATGAACATGAAACAAAACAAATCTGAACAAATCCAGTGGATTTGAATCCATTGAATTTTGTGAAAGGCTCCTTTGGGATTTTGATAAGGTGTCTCAATAACCCAAAAAACATAGAATTTTAGGAGTTGGAATGGATGTTATAAATCATCGTGTCCCCCCCCCTGTCCCTGGGCAGGGACACCTCCCACCAAAGCAGGTTGCTCAAGGCTTCATCCAACCTGGCTGTGAGCACTGCCAGGGTTGGGGCATCCACAGCCTCCCTGGGCAGCCTGTGCCAGTGTCTCACCAAAAACCTGTATACAAAAATTTTAGTTCCTAACCAAAGCCTACAAGAAAAGGCAGCTGACTGGTATCAATATCTTATATTCTCAACTGCCCCAGTTCATTACAGCTGTAGTGCAAAGGTTAGAAAAATAAGAGGCATATAAGGGATATATACATCTATTTATATATATATATATATAAATCTAATGCATATGTTTTAAATATAAGGGAAATATTTCCCTTGTCTTTACCCATAGTTACA